TAGTGACCTCTCCCCTTGGGTTTCTGAGGCGGTATCACTATGGAAGTGGATTTCTCAATCTTCCTTCCAAGAAGTAGCTGGTGGATTTGAACCGTCAGCCTTCTTGTTAGCAGTCAAATGTCTTAGGCACTATGCCACCAGAACTCCCAAAAGAGACATCGTTGTTATGTGCCGTTGAGTCAGACCCGACCCATAGCGACCCCTCCTTGGGTTTCCAGGGCAGTATCACTACAGAAGTAGATTGCCCCATCTTCCTTCCAGGGAGTGGCTGGTGGGTTTGAACCGCCAGCCTTCTGGTTAGCAGTCAAGTGCCTTAGCCACTACACTACCAGAGCTCCCAAAAGAGACATACACATGTTAAATATCTTTTATTATAAACATCAGGACTAAAAGTAACTCTGAAAGCAGAGGTGGCAGACAACAGAATGGCAAGAAGGGGAAATTATGCTGAAATTTAAAAATATTTAGCTAATTAGAAAATTTAGTATTGGTAATATGAAAAAGGAACATTGACTGAAGAGAAAGCTAATTCCAAGATGGAAAAAGTAAAGGGGCAGAAGAAAACTAACATCTAGTGGCGTTGGTGCCTAAGGAAGACTGGGCAATCTACTTCCATAGAGATACCATCTCGGAAACTCAAGGAGGGGTCACTATGAGTCGGATTCGACCTGACAGCAATGAGTTTGGTTTTTGGTTTTTATATACCAGTAATTGTCCTGGGACTTTTCAAGTATTTGACATTATTTGATTCTCATAATATTCCTGTATGATAAATATCATCCCCATTTTACAAAAATAGGTTGAAGTATGTAAGAGTTAAGTGATTTGCCCAAAGTCTTGCATCCAGTCTACCTGATTATGGAAGTTTTAGGATTAGAAGCTAGCTGGAGGTCCAAAGCCCTAGAATGCTCCACCGTATTTCCACTTAACTGACAAAAGCAGGAGATTCCAAAGAAGTTAAAAAAAACTATAAAAATTATACTGGAAAAAACAGGAATTATTCTCATTCATCTCACTACAATACAGCTATTTCTTTGTGGAAACATGAAAGGAAAAATAAATTGAGCTTTCAAACACGAAAAACAAACTTCAATCTGCAAAAACAGGTGAGATTAGAAATATCTCTTTGCTTCCAGTCTCATTCTGTCAAGTCGATTCCACACTTCACCATGATTAGCATTCTAAATTGTAACCCTGACCATGTCATTCCTCCTTTCTTAATAATCTTTCAATAACCTCCTATCACCAAAAAGGTAAAAATCCAAAAATCAACAGAACTCAAAGGAGCGCTACCTAATAAGCCTAAATTAACAAACTCCTTAGCCTAGAAGGAATAAGAGTAAGACAAAAAAGATAACTTCTAAAAGTAAATGCTTACTTATAATTGGAAAGGAGCTCTGGTGGTACAATAGTTAAGGTATTCAGTGGTTAACCAAAAGGTTGGTGGTTCAAACCCACGAAGCAGTCTGCTTCCATAAGATTTACAGCCTTGGAAACCCTATGGGACAGTTCTACTTCATCCTAAAGGGTCACTACGAGTCAGAAAAGACTCGATGGCAGTGGGTTGGTGGGTTTATAATTTATGACACTGGAATATACTCCATTGAAGTCTGCTAGTTTTCTCATTTCAAATTATAAAATGAATAAAATTTCAAATGTCAGTTAAAGAGCAACATTGACACCTTGTGGTGAACATCCTAAAACAGCCAATGTAAAAATGATTAACATAGTTTCTAATTAAATGTCTACATATACATTGTGGAGATTTCAATCAATATTATGAAACAAAATGTGTATAAATTGTTGAATAGAAAACCAATTTGCTCTGCAAACTTTCACCCAAATCACAATAAAAAGTTAAAAACAAACAAATAAATGTCTGCTTGTATGAAAACTAACTCTTAATTCAGGGATTTCCAAACATTAAAAAGCAAAAATTTGATTACCATCACACATACTAAATACAAATTGGAAAAGCTGCTAATATTTGGACTAAAATTAACCTAAATTTTTAACTTGTGGCCAATGTTATAAATAAAACCTCAGGTCACTGTTTTCTTGTAAAATGTTACAATACATCCATATGAAACAGGTTTGTGCCCTGGTCATCAGGGCTCCATAGTCCCTGCCTCAGTCAAGATTTATTTTTCCTGTAATATTTTCACACTTTAAAAAATGGAGAGAATAAACATCTACCAGTAGCACAGCAGTACAAAATTATTAACTAAAAATACAGTCTCAAAAACAGAATTTTGAGACCTGGGTTTTAAGCCTAACTCTAATTAGAGATTTTATTTATTTCAATTCAATTTAGTAAACATTTGCTGAACACCTAACAGTCCAATTCACCCTGCTGGACACTACAAGTGATTCAAAGTTAAGTAAAACAAGCTCTTTTCTCAACAACCCACAAATTGATAAAAACCAAAAAAAAAAAAAACCCCAAACTCACTGCCATCAAGTCATTTCTAACTCATAGCAAGGCTGTAAATCTTTACAGAAGTAGATCGCCCCGTCTTCCTTCCGTGGAGCAGCTGGTGGGCTTGAACTACTGACCTTCTGGTTAGCAGTCAAGTACTTTATCCACTATGCCACCAGAGCTCCCCTCAAACTGATAGGAAATATTAAATGTAAACCACAGGCAAAAGTGAACAAATATTAAGTATAATAACAGACACAAAACAGAAAACAGCTTTAATGTAACAGACAATGGTTAATCTTTATTAATGCCTGAGAGAACTATCACAGAAAATTCTATTTTACTTATTAACTTTGACAAAGATAATTTAAAGTTTCCAGTTGCACAGATAACTTCCTGGGTTCAGTTAATTTAGTTGATAAACAGAGATTTTATTTGGTTCAGAAAAAGTGACTCTCTATTTCCAGTTATAAATGAATTATACAGTGGTATTGAGGATATCACTATTAACAAGACAATCCGAATTGGTGTCATGGCCTGAGGAATCTGGAAGGTATGCTAGAAACGAACTCTCAGAGCCAAATCACTGCAAGATCAATGTTAAATAACTGAGCAACTACCAAGTTAACATGGTGATTTTGCACTTAGGGAGGGCTCAATGCTTTTCAGAAAAGTTTCTAAGCCATTATGACACGTGCTCATTATAGCCACCAGTCAAGGAAGGTGAGACTAAAAAGGACCTGCCAAATGTACTTGTCAGAAAACTTTAGTTCAGCCCCCCCTATAGCTCTTGCTAGATGCCCCAAAATAGATAAATCATTTAAAGCCTCTTGGCTTTAGCTTCTACATTTAAAGCAAAAGCCATAATCCTTAATCTGTCAACACAAAAAGCATCTGAGAGTGAGATATGAAAATGCTTTATAAATTGTACATATTTATAAAATTACTGCTTCTACCTTCTAGGAAGAATCAGAGAGATGCAATGAATTAGCACAATCAGGGATAATTAAAGTCAGGACCAAATTAATTAAAGCATTCTCTCTGGCACCATGTTTCTTCCCAAAATCCAACAGTGTCCCCTCAGTTCCTGTTTCCCTGTAACATCAGCACTTTGGACACCCCTAGAACCTCTTTCTTCTTTTATCTTCTATGATGCTAATCTGTCCCAAATCCTCCCCTTCTCCCTGACTTTTCACTCTTTTTTCTTTTAATTCTACTCATTTCTCTCATAAAATCACACAATCTCAGATCTGAAAAACATCTTCAAAATAATTAAATTTATACCTTCAGTTCACTGAGAGGGAAACAGAGGCTTCCTCACATTTCAAACTATTTCTGGACATTACCTTCTTGGATACTTAAAATTAAATGTGTCCCAACCCGAACAGGATCAGAAACCTAAATTATATATTCTGGGTTGTTGTTGTTGTTGTTGTTGTTGTTGTGAGCCATCGAGTCAGACCCGACACATAGCAACCCCTCTTTGGGTTTCCGAGGTAGTATCACTACGGAAGTAGATTGCCTCATCTTCAAAAATATGAGTTACATGTGACACCTCCCACACGCTATCTCCACCATCTAACTACAAAATCCTGTCCCTTCTGTCACATATTCAAAGAAGCCAGGGTGAAAGCACCTCTCAGATAAGAATCAAAAGTCAGCAAATGTATATGGTTTCTTTAGTCAAAATCATTGTCTGTTAAAAGCAATTTACACAGCCCATGTAACCAAACCTTATACCACCATGAGTAATAAGATACAAGTTTTGCAAAGGAAAAGGCCATTATATAATGTTTATAAAATAACCATTTCTCCAATCATGCTTCTGGACTCCTCTTCTAGTAGATATATAGAGGATGTCTAAGATGTCTAATGGTCCAAAATTTATGATGTGTTATGCAAACATTAGAAAATTTGGCCAAAATCAAATTTCAATGAATAATCTATCTGTCTGGGGTGAACACAGGATGGGTGTCACTGTTAACTTTATTGTGAACTGCATTTATTTTGGTAGCCTGCCTCCTGGGAGAATGTCCTTGATGATGTATCTCCTTTAAAATTAAAACTAATTTTAAAGTGTTTCCAAATTAAGGCCAGACATTATGAAAATACAGAGCAGAGACTTTTAAGCCTCTGAGCATTGAGATTCATACAAAACTCCTTCAACTTGCCAAAAGTGATTCCTTTAAGATGAACAGCAGGTCAAAACTATAAGCTGCGTTTAGGGCTGTTGGAGGGCTTTTCTAGCGAAGTGGTAATTTTTAGGCTTTGAAAGTCTAAATTTTGCAGCACTGATTGCCGCCCTTTACACTGCAAAAGATTGAAAACAGCTCATGGCCATTTGAACATCACTGGCTTCCAATCACTCTCTCTCCCACTGTCCAGAGAAAGGAAATGGCTTTCCAAAAGCTTTATGAAAGAGATAACTTAAATCACCATAGCTACAAAATTTATGAAGCTCTCACTAAAAAATGCTAAGCCTGAATAACAGCTTCTAAAGCTCCCATACATTTCCTCACACTAAAATGTCACAAACTCAGATGAGGAAGATTCTTTAGAAAAACCAAGGGAGGTCTCTTACCGTAGCAAAGAGAAGACATCGTAGGAATTGCGAACACAGTTCTGATCCACCTGAAGAAGATTCTTCTGAACGTTTGAATAACCCTGAAAGATAATCATCAACAAATTAATTGAAGCTAAACAAAAGAAAATCTATGCAGAAATTAATCACAATTTTTAACCTTTTTTTTTTTTAATGGTTTATCAACACCTCAGTAAATTAAATGGTTAGACTTTAAAAGTTTACCACAGTTTCCATACAACTGAAGTATTTTAGTTAGGCAACTAAGTTTCAATAAATTTCTTCTAGCATTTTCCCACAGAAACAATGTTTTATATTATAAATAGTGGTGAACTTCCCAGGGAAGTCTTTTTAATGTATCATGTGGTTGAAAAAGAGTATTACCACTAATATTTCAACTATGCCTGGCCAGCATATCCAATGCCTTTAAGGGAAAGGGTGGGGGATGCACCCCAAGTTCTAATTAGGAATACCAGAAACAAATATTTCTACAATGGTACAAAAGTGATGGGAAAAACAATAGTTTCTAGAGAAAACACAGTACAATTTCATTAAAAGAATAGAACTGTATCTCTGTCATTTGAGAAAGAAAGAATAAATAGTGCTTAAGAACAAAGATTCTGGAGCCAGACCAGCTTGGTTCAAATTTAGCCTCTCCATACAACAGCTCTGTAATCTTGAGCAAGGCACCCAAGCTCTTTGTTTAACCTTAGTTTCTTCATATGAGATGATAACAGTATCTACAAGTTTTTTTAATGGGAATTAAGGAGTTAATATTTATAAAGTGAAAGGTATACAGTAAACACTCTATAAGCATTTTTTTAAAGTTATGTCTACAAACAATAAAAGAATATTATGAACAATTTTATGCTAACATCAGGGCTTTGAACCAGTTCTTCTCAGTTCAGTCAAGGCCAACGAAGTAAAATTGGAACAGACCCAAATTTGTGAAATGTGGGTATAGCAGAAAAATGAAAACAGGAAAAATTATGGGTCAGCACTCTGCTAGGAATTTAATTTTCCTCTTAGAAAACAGAGCAGCATGTGTGTCACATAGCAACCAATCTCTTAAGGAACAGAAACAGAAATAGCTGTGCCAGGCTGAAAGATGGAGCAGGCCCCCGCTGCTCTGAATGTGTGGTGCTCTCTACAGTCCTGACAATAATCCAATCTCCTGGATCGGGCTCTTGAAGAGGCTCACAACACCTCATCCGAATGTGCCATTCCAGGGCTTAACTGTCATTTTTCCATTCCTATTATCATTCCAGTACACCCATACTTTAAAATTTTGGGTCTGTTCCAATTTTACTGCATCAGTCGTGACTACGCTGGTTTAAACCAGTTTGAAGCCCTGGCCAATATATGATGATAACATATAACAATTTCGATGAATTAGAAAATTTTTTTTAAAAAAAAGAAAATACAACTTGTCAACACTGAAAGGAGATGAAACAAAAATATCTCATAGTTGTTGCTGCTAGCTGCCATCGAGTCAGTCCCGACTCATACGGACCCTTCATCACAGAAAAAACACTGCGCAGTCCTGGAGCATCCTCAGCATCACCGCTATGCTTTGGCACGTTGTTGCAGCCACTATGTAAACTGTTCTCATTGAAGATCTTCTTTTTTGCTGACCCACTACTTTACCAGGTGTGATGTCCTTCTCCACAGACTGGTTCCTCCTGATAACACATCCAAAGTATATGAGACAAAGTCTTGACAACCTGGCTTCTAAGCAGCATTCTGGCTGTACTTCTTCCAAGACAGATTTGTTCATTCTTCTGGAAATCCATGGTATATTCAATATTCTTTGCCAACACCATCGTTCAAATCAATTCTCCTGTGGTCTTCCTTATTCATTATCCAGCTCTCATATGCATATGAAGCTAATGAAAATACCATGGCTTGGGTCAGGCATGCCTTAGTCCTCAAAGTGACATCTTTGCTTTTTAAGTAACACTTGAAAGGGGTCTTTGCAGCAGACTTATACAATGCTATATATGCATCATTTGATTTCTTGTCTGCTGCTTCCATAGGTGTTGACTGTGGATCCAAGTAAAATGAAATCCTCTATAACTTTAATATTTTTTCCATTTATCATGATGCTACTTCTAGGCCAGTTGCAAGGATTTTTGTTTACTATATGTTGAGGTCTGGTAGCATAGTGGCTAAGGCACTTGACTGCTAACCAGAAGGCTGGCGGTTCAAATCCACCAGCCACTCCTCGGAAGGAAGGTTGGGCAATCCTACTTCCGTAGTGATACTGCCTCGGAAACCCAAGGAGGGGTCGCTATGAGTCGGGGCCGACTCAACGGCAAATAACAACAACAACAACAACATATGTTGAGGTAATAATCCATAGTGAAGGCTATAGTCTTTGATCTTCATCAGTAAGTGCTTCAAGTCTTCTTCACATTCAGCAAGCAAGGTTGTGTCATATTGCAGTTTGTTAATTAGTCTTCCTCTAATCCTAATGCCATGTTCTTTTTCATATAGTTCAGTTTATCATATTATTTGTTCTGCATACAGACTGAGCAGCATAGCAGGGATTGTGCGGCTGGCGCGGGATCGGGCAGTGTTTCGTTCTGCTGTGCATGGGGTCGCTATGAGTCGGAAACGACTCGATGGCACTTAACAACAACATACAGAGTAAGTATGGTGAAAGGATATAACCCTGACACACACCTTTCCCTTACTTTAAACCATGTAGTACCTACCCCCTTATTATCTTTAAACAACTGCCTCTTAGTCTACATACAGGTTCCACATGAGCACAATTAAGTGGAATTAATGGCTAACCCAAGCCATGATATTTTCATTAGCTTCATATGCATATGAGAGCTGGATAATGAATAAGGAAGACCACAGGATTTCTTGAGTTCTCATTCTTTGTGACATTATCCATAATTGTTATGATCCACACAGTCGAATGTCTTTGCATTGTCTATAAAACACAGGTAAACATCTTTCTTTGCTTTCAGTCAAGATCTAGCTGACCTCAGCAATGATATCCCTCACTCCATGACCTCTTCTGAATTTGGCTTGAATTTCTGGCAGTTCTCTGTCGATACACTGCTGCAACTGTTTTTGAATTATCCTCAGCAAAATTTTACTTATGTGTGATATTAAAGATATTGTTCGATAATTTCTGCATTCGGTTGAATCACCTTTCTTTGGAATGATTACAAATATGAATCTCGTCAAGTCAGCTGGCCAGGTAGCATCTTCCACATTTCTTGGCACAGCAGAGTGAGCGTCTCCAGCGCTGCATCCATTTGCTGAAACATCTCAGTGGGCATTCGGCAATTCCATATGAAAAGCCTCAAACCAAAAAAACCAAACTCACTGCCATCAAGTTAATTCTGACTCACAATGACCCCCTTTGGGTTTCCAAGGTGGTATATCTTTATGGAAAGGAGCTCTGGTAGCTTAGTGCCTAAGGCACTTGACTGCTAACCAGAAGGCTGGCAGTTCAAACCCAACAGCCACTCCTCGGAAGGAAGATGGGGCAATCTACTTCCGTGGTGATACTGCCTTGGAAACCCAAGGAGGGGTCTCTATGAGTCAGGGCTGACTCGACAGCACACAACAACAACAACAACATATCTTTATAGAAGTAGATTGCCCAGTCTTCCTTCCGCAGAGTGGCTTGTGGGTTTGAACTGTCAACCTTCTGGTTAGCAGTCAAACACCTTAGGCATCATGCCACCAGAGCTCCTTAGCAATAGCCTGATATTTAATTTTTTAATGACTAATTGAAAATCTCCCACAAAAATTATAACAATAATTTTAAAAAATCCAGGTATAAACAGTTACACTGGGGAATTCTATCAAATATTTAAGGAAGAAATAACATCAATTTTACACAAACTCTTTCATATTGCATCACAATAAATGGAGAGAAGATTGAGGTTGTCAAAGAATTCACATTGCTTGGTTCTACAATCGATGCCAACAGAAGCAGCAGTCAGGACATTAGACGACGTGTAGCATTGGGAAAGTCAACTGCAAAGGAACTGTTTCAAGTGCTGAG